CAAGATACTCAAAGCACTTTACACTGCAATCTGTGCCTCATTTACCCATTCACACAGCACTAGATCTCTACAAAGCCAGTTGAACAAATCATTCTAATGAGACTAATCAGTGCTTTAGATCACATTCATACACTGATAGGACACACATCAGAGGCTATGAGGGGTTCAGTGTCTTGCCCAGGGACACTTCGGCATGTGACTGCTGGTGGATTCGAACCCCCAACTTTTGCATTCGAGGACGACTGCTCTAACCACTCAGCTACAGCCGCCAAAGTCCTAAGGCTAAGCCCCCAGTTCAACACCGACCCGTTCACGTTTCTAATCGATTTTCCTCGCTCAGTGACACACCCGCTGAGAAGCAGACCCTGGTTATTGGAAGCTCCATAGTCCAAAACGTGGCTTTAAGGACTCCAGTGGCCATAGTCAAATGCATTCCGGGGGCCAGAGCGGGCGACATAGAATCTTATCTGAAACTGCTGACTAAGGCTAAGGCTAAATACAGTAAGATTGTTATTCACGTCAGCGGTAATGACACCCGGTTACGCCAATCGGAGGTCACTAAAATTAATGTTGCTTCGATGTGTGACTTTGCTAAAACCATGTCGGACTCCGTAGTTTTCTCCGGCCCCCTCCCCAACCTGACCAGCGATGACATGTTTAGTCGTATGTCGTGGTTTAACCGCTGGGTGTCCAGGTGGTGTTCTGACAACGACGTGGGCTACATAGATAACTGGAGTTCTTTCTGGGGAAAACCTGGTCTGATGTGGAGAGATGGCATCCATCCCACTTTGGACAGAGCCACTCTTCTTTCTAGAAATATGGATGATTTTGTTTATCCCCCAAATTATTGACAACCCAGGGTCCATTCCAGGAAGCAGAGTTATAGTCCTCCACCCCTCTCTGCTGCTTCTCCTCTGTTACCCACCCACACCCACATTGAAACAGTGTCAACTCGCCCACGGCTCAAATTCAATAAACCAAAAATCATATCTAAAAATATAAACCATAAAAATCTGATTAAAATAAACACAGTTACTTTACCAGAGCAAAATCATAAAATCATTAAATGTGGATTATTGAACATCAGATCTCTTTCCTCTAAATCCCTGTTAGTTAATGAACTGATAACTGATCATCATATTGATTTATTGTGTCTGACAGAAACTTGGCTACAACAGGAGGATTTTGTTAGTATAAATGAATCCACTCCTGTTAATTATTTAAATGTTCATGTTCCTAGAACAACTGGCCGAGGTGGAGGAGTAGCTTCTATTTTTCAGTCAGGATTATTGATTAATGCCAAACCAGTTATTAGTTATGATTCTTTTGAATCGCTTTCCCTCAGTCTTTCTCATCCAAAATGGAAATCAGAAAAGCCACTTTTACTAGTTGTTATATATTGTCCACCAGGAGCTTACTCTCAGTTTCTGTCTGAATTATCAGAATTATTAACTGACTTAATATTAAATACTGATAAAATCATCATAATGGGTGATTTCAATATTCATGTAGATGTTGAAAGTGATAGTTTAAGCATAGCCTTTAATAATTTAATAGACTCATTTGGTTTTACCCAAAACGTCCGCACATCTACTCATTCTTATCATCACACTCTTGATTTAGTTCTGACCTATGGTGTAGAGATTAAGGACTTGGTAATAGTTCCTCAAAATCCTGTTCTGTCTGACCATTTTTTAATAACCTTTGAGTTTACATTAAATGACTACACTGTCACTGAGAGTAAATTTCATCTCAGCAGGTGCTTATCAGAAAATGCTGTAACCAAATTGAAACAATCTCTTCCATCAATGTTTTCCTCTGTCTTGCAGAGTAATGCATCAGAGAACAGAGACTTAGATCATCTAGTTGATCATCTTACAACTTCAATACAAACTTCACTTGATAAAATTGCTCCACTGAAAAAGAAAGTAATCAATCAGAGGAAACTGGCTCCTTGGTTCAATTCTGAGTTACGTACTTTAAAGCAGGCATCTAGAAACCAGGAGAGAAAATGGCGCTCTACTAATGTTGAAGAATTTTATTTAACTTGGAAAGATAGTCTGCTAACATATAAAAAAGCTCTCCGTAAAGCTAGAACTTTATATTACTCATCTTTAATAGAGGAGAATAAAAATAACCCTAGGTTTCTGTTTAGTACTATTGCTAGACTAATTAAAAGTCCCATTTCTGTTGAACCATGTATCCCTACAACTATAAGTAGTGATGACTTCATGAGAAGTAAACGGTAAACAGACGGTAAACAAGAGAAGCTGGCACCTGTGAGTCTCTCATTTCGCCATAACATTTCTCTGTCTGTTCTTAAAACATCTCACTGTTTTTCTGACTTGTAGTAACCTCTTATGTCACTAAAACCACACCCCTGTTGGTTCTTTCAACCAATCAGGATTTCCCAAAAAAGGGACCGGAAGCGAACTCTTTAAAAAGTCGACACTTCCTAGTTCCAGTCAGTTCAAAGTTCTGAGAGCAGAACCGAACGAAAGTTCTGAAGTGCTGGAGTTAGTTGGGAGTTCTTCCGAGTCTCGTGGGGATTATGGAATCTTCCACATCTGAGTGGAACTCTGACGGGCTCACAGCTCATGTGAGTCCACCCGGGAGGTGAGCGTGCTGTTGAACGAAGTACCGTCACTACTCCGGACGTTTCTCTGCTATCCTACGGAGAAGCTGAAATGGTAACGTTGAAAGAGAACTCTACACTGAAGCTGAGATATCTTCTGCAAGGTAAAGAGTCGATTTCCACTACCGAAGTGTACCGAGGTAGAGCTGGGTTAGGATGGAGGGTGTCGTTCTTCGTCAACACATTTTCCCTCACACATCTTTTCTCTCCATTTAAACTCCTTCATTCCCCATCTTTAAAACTCTTCTATCTGCCAGTAAAAGATAAGCTAAGCCTGCAGACACTTATTTAAGACCTAAGGATATGTCTGTTGTTTTAAGTTGCAAGTGAGAAATCATGGCCGTATGATTTCTCATTGTAAAGCTCATTAATTAAGCTGTGTTAATTGTAATCAATCCGCCAATTAATGTAAATGTGTGATGTGTTTTTAAATCGTTTAAAATAAACGACCCACTGTTGTTGGTGAGTCAGAAATTTAAAACGTCTCTGTCCACATTTACTCCACAAAGCACGATATGACTTAGTCCAGAAAAACGAAAGAATCTGTTTAAATAAAGGATAATATCAGACGCATATTATCTCGTTACATTACTGGTGGCCCGTTACAGGTCTCTCATTACACTTTATAAATAAAATTATTTCAGAGAGAAAATTCAAACCATCCTTCCTTCTACTATCTCTAGTCCCCTGTCAAATGAAGCATCTTTAAAAATTTCACTAGAGCCTGATTTATGTTTGGACAGTTTTTGTCCTGTTGAGCTCTGAATTGTCAAAAATAATAACCTCATCCAAACCATCCACATGCCTGCTAGATCCCATCCCAACCAGACTGTTTAAAGAGGTATTTCCACTAATTAATGTCCACATTTTGAATCTACTTAATTTGTCTTTAATGGATGGTTATGTACCACAGAGCTTTAAGGTTGCTGTAATTAAACCTTTACTTCAGAAGTCTGACCTTGATTCAGAAATTCTGGCCAACTATAGATCTATATCTAATCTAACTTTCATCTCAAAAATTCTAGAGAAAATAACAAAGTCCATGCTCAATAATCCAGGTATACAATCCAACATTTTTCAGTCAGGTCATCTGGACAGTTTCTTTTTCTGTGCTGAAACGTTTCGCCTTCGATCCAGAAGGCTTCATGAGTCAAGGAAACACACAACACAAAACTGATTCTTCCTCCAACAGCTTACTCCAAAGTGGAACAAACCAGTTACGTTGGTGCTAAGATGGTCTCTTTGCCACGCCCCCTCCTACATTGCCGGCCCTCTTATTATGGTTACGGTATAAAAGTGTTCTTGAACCAGAAACATATTTGCAGAACATTCGAAATGAGAACTGTAGCAGATCTTTATGACTATTAAGATGTTCAGCACGAGGCGTCATGGTGGCTCATTGGGTAGAGCTGTTACCTGTCAGTTAAAAGGTTGTTGGTTCAAATCATGGCCAGGTTCCATTCGCGTTTGCATGTTATCTCCGTGCTTCATTGGTTTTCTTTGTGTACTCTGGTTTCTTCCCACAGACCAAAAACATGCATGTTATGCTGTTTGATAACTCTAAATTGTCCCTCGGTGGTAAGAGTGAGAGAATGAATGTTTGTTTGTCTCGTTTGTCTCTATGTGACACTGTGATGGACTGGAGACCTGTCCAGGGTGTTCCTGTGATGGACTGGAGACCTGTCCAGGTGTCCCTTTGATGGACTGGAGACATATCCAGGTGTCCCTGTGATGGACTGGAAGCATGTCCTGGGTGTCCCCCACCTCTCGCACAGTGACTGCTGGACATGGGCACCAGTGACCCAAAAAGGAAGAAGCGGGTAAAAGATAATGGATGGATGGATGATGGCTGGATGTTCAGCTCATAGTGTAGCCATTGAACGTGGCAAGTGGTCTCATTACCAGGAATGAGTGTTTATATTGTAAACATGTTTTCTGGATTTTAAGTTGGTGAAGATTAGAACCTCTTCATTTTTGTCTGTGATGTTTATTGTACACTTCATGAAACACTGGCTCATAATAATTCCTTTGTTAGTTTAATGTCTGTTTGTGACACATAAAAGGCTTGGTTACTTGGAGCATACAACTATAAGGATTTTAAAGCTAGGGAAACATATTTTATTTGTATTAAGTATAAATGGTATTCACAACAACTTATATATGTAAAGCTGTAGTAGGCTGTAAATACTTGCATGTTTGTGAGCTGTTAATGAATTATTTTATAGTTGTTTTGCTGTAGAAATGTGAGCCAAAAGACCTTATATTCCTGAATATACTACTTTTGATGTGACTTTGTTGTCATGTCATTGTTTTAATAGATTTCTATGGATAGAATAATGTTGTTGTCAAAAAAGAAATGACTCACGTCGACAGTTGACCAAAGTTGTCCCATAGGTGTAGTCCGGGCACTCAGAACAAGTCCGGCCTCCAAAGCCTGGTCTGCACTCACACTGACCTGTCCGCTGGAAGACACAAACTGATCTGAGTCCAGTTTTATTACAAAAAAATACTGTGGGTTACAAAAGTTTTCACCTCCTTGGTATGCTCTCTGTTTTGTTTTCTGGAACTTGAATTTTTAGTTTTATTTGAATAAACCCACACAAAATATTTCAAATTAATGAAATTAAATGAGAGTGGCAACACGTTTTAAATAATTCTATACATATAAAACTAAAATGTTGCTCATGTGTCTATATTCATTCCCTTTGCTTTGAACCCTTGTCCACAGAAGCCACATTATTACTGTATGCAAATAGAATTAAACTGTGAACAAACGGAAAGTCAGATTATCGCAGTACTTGTTGTGATAGCGTACCAGAGATCAGATTAACACCTTTACCTGGTTCGGACCACAGAACAAACGAAGAAGACCAATATAGATCACTGAGAAGTATAGGGTTGGGTCATAAAAATAACTTACAACCCTGAACAATGCATGAATTACAATTAAATGAGTTATTTGGAGGACATACTCTGAAGGGGAAGTGTTATGACAGTGAATGTGTGTGCATAGTTATTTTCAATGTTTTACAAAAAAGCCATAATTCCATAATTTCTCAGCATAATAAGATTTTAGTGTAACACTCTAGGAGGAGGTGTGACAGTGGCAATTTTAGCCTCTTTTTGGGTGTGTTAAGGCACCCTAAATTTTAACTCAGCACCTGAAAGATCAAGAAACCATCATTAGGATTTTGTAAGGAAACTCAGTTCTCAAACCTTAGATTCACTAAAATATTGAAT